TAACAGATACTCACTGTATATGCATTCCAGCAGAGACAAAGATCTGTTTCAAAATATGCTGAAATAAAACAGGTAAACAAACTCCATTATTGAATACACAAAAGGAATGATCATATTATTTATTCATAACACAGGGTACAGAAAAAAGGAAAGTTAAATAACCAAAATCATGTTTTGCTCAAAGAGCCAATGAAGGAGATAGCGTTATGGAAGGGACAGCTACTGAAACCCATAAGATGCGGGATACAGGCTTGGTGACTTGACAGATCTCTGTTGCTCTGGAACCTTCCTTCTAAAGCACCCCCACAAACTCCAGACCTGGCTCTCAGAGCCTAGTAGCCTCTCCATTACTTTTGTGATACTTGGCAACAAAATGCAATGGTTCTTAAAAAATAAAAAGCAAGGGGGGAGGGGGGAGGCTGGGAAGGGATGTGAAGGGTAAACCAAAGGAGGAGGCTGCAATGCTTGGTAAGAAATGTACGCATTATCCTGCCCATGTAATTGTAACCCCTCTGTACAGTATGTTCACAAATAAAAAATAAATAAATTAAAAAAAAATAAAAAGCAAATTTCTTGTTGAGACAAGAAATGTCTGAATTCATTTCTCCTAAAAGTTAAAGAACGTTGATGTGCCACATTTCAGACCCCCTAAAATGGCATTTAAGCACATAGATACACTTGAGATTTTAAATAGGGAACATATTTATGACACATGTACACACATGATACACCTGACCTGTGAAACCATGTTTTTAATTTACAATGTAACCATACATGTATTGCTTAAAAACAAACAGCAACAACAGAAAAACACCTTCAGGCTCAGTAAAGATAAGTGCTGATAGATTTTTGTCTATACCTACACATCCACAAGGGAATCTATCTAATCACAATAAACTGTCCTCATTGCTTTTTTTAAAATCATTACAGATATGTAAGTCACGTGGAAATCAAAACAAACCCATCAGGGCTGGGAAGGTGGCTCAGTGGTAGAGCGCTTGCCTTGTATGCCTGAGGCTCTGGGTTCGATTCCTCAGCACCACATAAGCAAAAAAGAAAAAAAGCCAGAAGTGGTGCTATGGCTCAAGTGGGAGAGCGCTAGCCTTGAGCTGAAGAGCTGAGGGACAGCGCCCAGGCCCAGAGTTCAGGCCCCATGACTGGACCCAAAAACAAACAAACAAACCCATCAGGAGCTCCAACATCTGTATTTTGGGGGCACCTTTCTCTTTGTGTTCCCCAGCCATCATGTGTATATATGGGACCCAGAAACAGCTGGCCCACTTTAGAAATAAACAGCTGGGCATCAGTAGCTCATGCTTGTAATCCTAGCTACTCAGGAGGCTGAGATCTGAGGATTTCCATTCAAAGCCAGCCCAGGCAGGAAAGTCCATGAGACTCTTATCTCCACTTAACCACCAGAAAACCAGAATTGGCACTGTGGCTCCAAGTGGTAGAGCATTCGACTGGAGACGAAGAGCTCAGGGACAGCGAGTGCCCAGGCCGAGTTCAAGCCCTATGACCAACAAAAAAGAAGAAGAAGAAGAGGAGGGGGGGAGGAGGAGGAGGAAGAAGAAGAAGAAACAACCAAGCAAACACCCCAGAGACCATGAACAAGCAGTCAGCAAACAGGGACTGACTCCACTGTTTAGAGAATTTCCGTCTACTTCTTAAACAAAATTCTTTCAAATAGATTTGGCACCCATGCTACATGACTTGTTTAGAAAAACCTCTGCTCTACTCAATTCCTACCTCTCACCTCACTGTTTATTCAGGCAGCAGGATTCTAGTTAATGGACCCCAAAAAGTGCTCTTCATAATACAAAGTGGCATCACATTTGTAATCATTTAAATGAAGCCCTGAGTATTAAATGGATTTCATGGATGGCAGAGACAAAGTCTGAAAAGCTTTTTGTTCTGGCTCTTAGTTAAAAAACAAAAAACAAAAATGAGTCCAGATGTAAACAGGAAAAAAAAAACAATTTAAAATAGAAAAACACACTTTCTGCATGGATGTTTACCCTAATATATATATATTTTTTTAAATCCAAGAATTTTACCTAAGAATATTATTCTTTAATCTTTCCTATAAGCCAGATGTTTTCCATTTGATATCGGAGACTGCTAACACCCCAGCTTTTACAACTGGTCCAAGTAATCTTCTGGCTTCATTTTAGCTCGAAGGTTCCCTTTCCACCTCCCCAACATGCCTTGTTCTGTACCCCAATGTATTCCATGTGACATCATCATGAGAGCAATAATACCCCAATCCTCATTCAATGCAACCTTCAGTCACACCACTTCTGTTACATAAGAGCCAACTATTTCTCCACCTATATTAATATCATAAACATCTGGTTAAGATCAAAGTTCCATTCAACTCCTTTCTCTAATACATAAAAGTGAACCAGAAATTATTTCAAAATATAGTATGCAAGGGAAAAGGCTAATATTATTTGGATGAATTCTGAATTCATTCAACTGTTAAATCACAGGATACAAGACCTGGAATGAACTTTGTAAAACAGTTTGCATGGGCTGGCCTTGGTTTTCTGGGCAGCTTTCCTGTCCTGTCCAGCTCTGGGTAAACTGGAAGGGAAGGGGGAGGTTGTACCCCATCCAGCTGTTCCCTGCCAGACAGACAATGGCCCAGAAGCAGAAAAATAACCCCTAAGGGCAAGCATAAAAATCAGCATTCACACTGGGCACTGGTGACTCATGCTTGTAATCCTAGCTACTCAGGAAGCTGAGATCTGAGGACCACAGCTCAAAGCCAGCCTAAGTTGGAAAGTCCATAAGATTCTTATTTCCAATTAAACACCACAAAACCATAGTGGTGCTATGACTAAAAGTGGTAGAGCACTAGCTTTGAGCAGATAAAGCTCAAGGATAGTCTCCAGGCTTTGAGTTCAAGCCCCATAACCAACAAAAATAAAATAAATCAGCAGTTGGAAAACAGTTGGTGCACAATCAACTTAGGTGCTTCCACAGGGGAAACATAAAGTCAAAGATGCCAAAGAAATGCCCAGACCCATGACATAATTTTAAATTAAAAACTTACTTTTTAATGATATACATATTGAGGAGGAAGAAAAAAAAACCCAAAAGACTATTTTTTTAAAGCATTTTCGGGGCTGGGAAGGTGGCTCAGTGGTAGAGCGCTTGCCTTGTATGCGTGAGGCCCTGGGTTTGATTCCTTAGCACCACATAAGCAGAAAAAGCCAGAAGTGGAGCTGTGGCTCAAATGGTAGAGCACTAACTAGCCTTGAGCTGAATTGCTGAGGGACAGTGCCCAGGCCCAGAGTTCAGGCCCCACGATCAACAACAACAAAAAACAAAAAAAAATCAAAAGCAAAACAAAACTTTAGTTTTTGGGATGATGAAATAGAAAATAGTCTCTTGTCGGGGCTGGGAAGGTGGCTCAGTGGTAGAGCACTTGCCTTGCATGCATGAGGCCCTGGGTTTGATTCCTCAGCACCACATAAGAAAAAAGCCGGAAGTAGCGCTGTGGCTCAAGTAGTAGAGCGCTAGCCTTGAGCTGAAGAGCTGAGGGACAGCACCCAGGCCCAGAGTTCAGGCCCCACAACCGGACCCAAAAAAAAAAAAAATAGTCTCTTGTCATGAATGGTCTCCCACTCTTAAAGGTGAAGCTATTTTATTAAGGCAGACAGAAGATCAAAGTGGAGTCTTTTTTCTCTGGTCAAACAGGGAAATCAAACATTTGTTACTCTATTTAAAAAAGCCAACAGAATCCCTGGTAAATCTCTAAAGACATAGTATGTGTTTACATTTTGCCAATAATAGAGAGCTAGGAGAAAAGAGGAGGGGTAGTTAGAAGGTAGTGCCAAATCACAGAAAGCTTTGGGAGTTTTGCCCAACTCCTGTCAAAAGTAGTGCTTTCAGTATTTTTCAAAAGAAAGATCATTCTGAACTCACCAGGGTTCTAGCTTCCAAACCACACCTCCTCCTTCTTTCAGCTCTTCCCACCCAAGCAATCAAAGTAAAGCATAACCTGCTCCCCTCCCCTTGGGAGGGAAGGTGGCTGGATTTTGGGGGTAGGAATAGCATCCAGTTATATTCACATGGATAGGGGGGGATGGCCACAAAGCTCTTTCTAGTTTTAACAAACATAAACAAGGTCAAAGCTGGGGCTGGGAATGTGGCTTAGTGGTAGAGTGCTTGCCTAGCATTCATGAAGCCCTGGGTTTGATTCCATAGTACCACATAAACAGACAAAGCTGAAAAGTGGTGCTGTGGCTCAAGTGGTAGAGTGCTAGCCTTGAGTAAAAGAAGCTCAAGGACTATGCCCACACCCTGAGTTCAAGCCCCAGGACTAGCAAAGAAAAAAAAAAAAAGCTGAGAGCTAGTGGTTCATGCCTATAATCTTAGTGATTCAGGAGTTTGAGATCTGAGGATTCCAGTTCAAAGCCAACCCAGGCAGGGAAAGTCCACAACAATCTTATCTCTAATTAACTACAAAAAGCTGGAAGCAGAGTTATGGCTTCAAAAACCTCAGGGACAGAGCCCAGGACCAGCCAAAAAATAAAAAAATAGAAAATAAAGAATAATAATAAATAAGTACAATAAAATAGAGAAAAGGAAAATAAAAAAGCTAATTTTGTAGTTGTGTTTTCAATCATTGGTATATATGTATCAAACCTTTTGTGATAAATAGGAAAATTAAACCAGAATTTTACAAAAAGTATTTACTAAAAAGGAAAGCTTCAAAATTGGGTTAAGAATGTCTAATGTAGCCTGGTACTGGTGGCTCATGCCTGTAAAATCCTAACAACTCAAGAAGCTGAGATCTCAGGATTGTAGTTCAAAGCCAGCCTGGGCAGCAAACTCATATCGCCAATTAACCAGAAAAAGCCAGAAATGACACTCTGGCTCAAAGTGGTGGATCACTAGCCTTGATCAAAAAAGCTCAGGAGTAGCACTCAGGCCCTGAGTTCAAGCCCCAGTACCAGCACAAAAAGAACATCTCATATACAGTCCAACTCTTAAACATCAGGCTTTTTTTTTTTTAATCAAACAACGTCACTACATCGTAAGAATTGAAATCATTAACATAAGTGTGTGAAATGTAAGGTAGTTGTGGAAACCAGGGAAGATGCCCTGGGGAAGATAGAGCAAGTGTGCAGGTGCTTTGAGAGTAAGGCTCTGGAAAATGAAGGATTTTGGTCCCAGATTGAAGGTGGGTATGTGGCCAACCATCCTGGCTTCAAAGACGATTGGGCAGGAATCAAGGAGGGGCCACTGCTGCAGCTCCCAAAGCAAGTCTCTACTTCTCACTCCCAAGATGTGTTCCCAGGCTTCAGCAGGTCTCAAGATTTGCTTTCCATCTTGTAGTAGCGATATAGGACACCTATGAGGACCGCGCTGACAATGGGGAGAATCCAATATGCCCAGCAACTAGAATAAGGAAAAACAGCAGCAAAGGTGTGAGGATTTTATACAATCTAGACTTTCTTCCTTCTCTTTCACCTCATTTCATCCCATTTCATGTCACTATTTTTGGGGCCGGTACTGGAGCGTGAATTCAGGGCCTTGCATTCTCATTTGCAGCTTGTTGTTTTTTTGTTCAAGGCTGGCAGTATACCACTTGAGCCACAACTCCACTTCCAGCTTTTTTTGCTGGTAATTGGAGATAAGACTCTCTTGGGAGTCTTTTCTGCCCATGCTGGCTTTGAATCATGAACCTCAGAGCTCAGCCTCCTCAGTAGCTAGGATTACAAGTGTGAGCCACTGTTATCCAGCAACACTATCTTTCAATATCTGTTCACTAATAAATATTTATAGGGGCAAGAATCACCTAGGGAAATTAAACTGCTTTTATTACACAACAAACATCTCTATAGTCCTAAGTCAAGCAAAGAGCACTGGCTTGATACGTATTACAGGTGACACTCCTTAGAGTTTCAGAACAGCAATCATTTTTCTTAAAATAACTTCTTTAATAGAGTTTATCAAGCAGGGCGCCAAGGGCTCACATCAGTAATCCTAGCTACTCAGGAGGCTGAGATCTGAGAATTGAAGTTCAAAGCCAGCCCAGGCAGGAAAGTTTCTGAGACTTTTTTTGGGGGGGTCCAGTCATGGGGCCTGAACTCTGGGCCTGGGCGCTGTCCCTCAGCTCTTCAGCTCAAGGCAAGTGCTCTACCACTTAAGCCACAGTGCCACTTCTAGCTTTTTTTCCCTGCTTATGTGGTGCTGAGGAATCAAACCCAAGGCCTCATGCATGCAAGGCAAGTGCTCTACCACTGAGCCACCTTCCCAGCCCTCTCTGAGACTCATCTCCAATAAAGAAAACCAGAAGTGGCGCTGTGGCTCAAATGGTAGAGTGCTTGCCTTGAGCTGAAAAGCTGAGAGACAGCGCCCAGGCCCAGAGTTCAAGCCCCATGACTGACCAAAAAAAAAAAAAATAGAGCTTATCAGGGTCTTAGAGGAGTTGCTCAAATAGGAGTGGACCTCCCTGGCAAGGGTTAGGTACTGAGTACAAACCCTACTACCATAAAAAAAAATTAAAAATTAAATATTAAATTAAAATTTTAATAATCAAAAACTATTAAAATTGTTAGAATTAAAATGATTTTTAAAATTAAAAGTAATAATTAAAGTAAAATAATTAATAATTAAAATTATCAGCAGCTAGTTTGTTTTATTTTGTTTTTGTCGGTCGTGGGGCTTGAACTCTTGGGCCTACATGCTGTCCCTCAGCTCTTCAGCTCAAGGTTAGTGCTCTACCAGTTGAGTCACAGCACCACTTCTGTTTTTTTTTTTTTTTTATGTTTTATTGGAGATAAGAGTCTCACAGACTTTCCTGCCAAGGTTGGCTTTGACCCCTGATCCTCAGATTTCAGCCTCCTGAGTAGCTAGGATTACAGGTGTGAGCCATCAGCGCCTGGCTCAGCAGCTAGTTTTAAGGTATAATTCTTTCCTGGTTCAAATGACCAAGCTGTCTCGATAGTTAAGACATGTCTAGCTTCAGTATTAAATAGTTTCCAAGCCAATAAAAGCAACTAACATTCATAATAAAAATGATTGTTTGCCTAAACATGCCCACCACTTTGTATACCAAAGCATGTCAGAAAGCTACTCCAAACGATGTTAGAATGTCAGCCAAGTAACTTAGTTAAACAATAAATAAATAAATCAAGATGACTTGTGTATCAGCAAGATGGCCCATGGGAACTGTTAAGTAATCTCTTCACAAAAGAAATGAATTCAGATTTCTTGAGGAGCAACCACAAAAGACTCATGTCCACTGCAGATATTCCTTAATATAAAGACAGAATGGTTGATCACCAAGCCACGTGTAATCTTTCTACTAAACTGCCACTGAAGGGAGAAATGGAGGGAACACATTTATACTGCACGAAAGGAGATTTACATTGCACAGCAACTTCCTGCCAAAAGACAGAATTTTCTTCCTGTTGATCCACCCAGGCTAGTGCATGGAACTGCACACAATTGTGATTCATTTACTTGTAGCCCTTTGCAGTATTCTACAGGATGAATAGACTACAATTTATTCATTTTATTCAAAGATCTGTGTGTATGTGTGTGTGTATATGCCAACTCTGGGCTTGAACTCAGGGTCTAGGCGCTGTCCCTTGAGCGTTTGTGCTCAAGCCTAGTGCTCTACCACTTAAGCCACAGCTCTCCTTTCAACTTTTTTGGTAGTTTATTGTAGATAAGAGTCGCATGGACTCTCCTGCTCAGCTCTGAACTGCAATCCTTAGGTCTCAGCCTCCTGAGTAGCTAGGATTACACTGGTGCCTGGTTCTTGAAGATTTCTTTACAATCCAGGCTGGTCACAGTCAGGGTAGATAATGCACTTATGAGTGGGTGGCTTACTCCATTTCTCAGAGCTACAAACCTCTGTATTTCTAACATTACTGGGGGACACAGTACAAGGGACACACTACAAGTAAACCTTGGAGAAAAACAGAATTATTGACTATAACTAAAAATGTTTCTTTTGCACTTCACACAGATCAAGTTTCAGGTGAAAGTCAGGTAAGGCATCATAGAATTAGTTGCTCATATACACCAGCCTCTTCTTGGATGTGATTCCAATTTATGTCACAGATTGTAATATCACTCAATGAAAGAATCTTCTGATTATTCAAAATGGTTGAAATTATAAAAATGAACTTGATGAGTATAATAACTACTGAGTTTGTGAAGACTTTGTCCAAAAAAGCATTAGCTGTCAGCCTGTGCTCTTAAATTAGGTTCTGCATGTATATCTGCAGAAAAGCCTGAAGGCAGAAATTGGGGAGCACAAGGAAATCCATTAAAGAGGTACTCACCTTTTGCACGTATGGTTTTTCAAAGGATCCTGGTAAAGACACATATTCAAAAATAACAAAAGAGAAAAAAGAAAAAAAAGATTAACAGTGCATATAAGTCTTAATTATCTGTATAAATTCTGAAGCCTTAGGGCTGGGAAGGTGGCTCAGTGGTACAGCGCTTGCCTTGCATGCATGAGGCCCTGGGTTCCATTCCTCAGTACCACATAAGCAGAAAAAAAAAAAGCCAGAAGTGGTGCTATGGCTCAAGTGGTAGCACGTTAGCCTTATTAGCATAAAAGACCACATTTAACCAGGCACTGGTAGTTCATGCCTGTAATTTAGCTACTTTGCCCCAGGACTGGCAACAAAAACAAAACAAAACAGATATACTTTATAGAGTGGACCAGATATACTTTATAGAGTGGCCCACAAATTGAGTTTTAATTTCATAAGACTGCCATGCAAATAAAACACATCCCTCAAACTTCAAAGAAATTTGCTCAAAGGAAGTAAAACTTCCAATAAAAGGGTTTTGATAGCCGGGCGCTGGTGGCTCACGCCTGTAATCCTAGCTACTCAGGAGGCTGAGATCTGAGGATCGCGGTTCAAAGCCAGCCCGGGCAGGAGAGACCGTGAGACTCCTATCTCCAATAAACCACCAGAAAACCAGAAGTGGCGCTGTAGCTCAAGTGGTAGAGCGCTTGCCTTGAGCTGAAGAGCTGAGGGACAGCGCCCAGGCCCAGAGTTCAAGCCCCACGGCCGACAAAAAAAAAAAAAAAAGGGTTTTGATAAGCCCTCCTCATATAGTATCACAATTACTTGAGATTATTGTTATCTGCTTATCATTATACCATGATAGCATGGCATAAACAGGCTAATTACAACATTGTGGGTCTGTCTGAGAAATCACAACGAACAGTTCCATTTTCAGAGACTCGGGAAGGGGGTGTGGTAGGGACAATGATGCAAATGTGAGGTGTGAGCTATGGAAGAGATGCTTAAGGCATAATTAGCAACCAAGTCCTTCAGCTAAGTTTAGAAAGAAGCCAGGTAAGGTGGTGGTGGTTGTTGTTTTTAATACCATATTTGCATATGTAGTTTTTTAAAGTATGATGTTATTGTTATTATTAAGGTGTGATACAGAGCGATTACCATTTCATAAGTTTGGTAATGAATACATTTCTTTTTTGTCACCTCTGCCTTTCCTTTCTCCAGTGATGTAAGGTGGGTTGTTTTATTTTTTTTGGGGGGGGGTTGTTGTTGTTTTGTTAGTCATAGGGCTTGAACTCAGGGCCTGGGAGATGTCCCTGACCTTTTGCGCTCAAGGCTAGTGCTCTACTACTTTGAGCCACAGCACTAACTTCTGGTTTTCTGGCAGTTAATCGGAGATAAGAGTCTCATGGACTTTCTGCCCAGGTTGGCTCTGAACTTCGATCCTCAGATCTCAGCCTCCTGAGTAGTTAGGATGATAGGCGTGAGCCACCAGGGCCCAGCTTTATGTAAGGTTTTTTCTTGTTGTTTTTAATCCTATAAGACTGAAAAGAGTTTTTGATTTTGTTTTTTTATGGTCTTGGGGCTTGAATTCTGGGCCTGGGTAATACCCTGAATTTTTGTGCTCTACCACTTGAGCTACCACATAGCTCCAGTGCCAGCTTTTTGGTGGTTAATTGGAGATAAGAGTCTCTCACAGACTTTCCTGCCTAGGCTGACTTCAAACCACAATCCTCAGATCTCAACCTCCAGAGTAGCTAGGATTATAGGCGTGAGTGACCAACAACTAGCTTGAAAAGGTTTAATAACATATAATCTTCCTTTACCCACACTCTTCCTCTGAGCACAATGTTTCAATCCTCATCTCCATGTCCGAGGTCTGCTGAAGGGAACAGAGGCTTCAGTGACATGCCTAGCTTGTAGATTTATCCCCTTAGGTATTCAAGCACATGTGACTGGTTATCTGTGTATCCAGACTAGTATGCTCTCAACCTAGTCTACAGAAAGTACTAACTACAAAACTATGATTTTAGTTATAAAACAGCAGATCCAATATAATCCAAAGTTCTCCAAGCACAAGCTCTACTATATATACTTTATTTATTTATTTAATTTACTTATTTCCCCAGTACTGAAGGCCTAGGAGCTATCTCTCAGGTTTTGTGGGTTTTTTTTTTTTTTTTGCTAAAGGCTGGTGCTAAATCACTTGAGCCACACTTCCACTTCTAGTTTCTTGGTGATTAATTAGAGATAAGATGCTCACAGGCTTTTCTGGCTGGACTGGCTTTGAGCAGAGATTATAGTATCAGCCTCCTGAGTAGCTAGGATTATAAGAGTGAGCCATCAGCACCCAGCTTTAAGACATGTTTCTTTATTCTCCAAGTAGTTTATAACAGATTTGCACACAACAAATTGCTATGATTTTTACCTCAAAACTAATAGAAATTAACCCTGTAAGTAAAACTGATTCTTTTTTTTTTTTTGGCTAGTCGTGGGGCCTGAACTCTGGGCCTGGGTGCTGTCCCTCAGTTCTTTAGCTCAAGGCACCACTTCCAGCTTTTTTTTCTACTTATGTGGTACTGAGGAATCGAACCCAGGGCCTCATTTGCAAGGCAGGCACTCTACCACTGAGCCACCTTCCCAGCCCAGTAAAACTAATTCTTAAAAGCTCGAAGTTTATTAATGTTTTAACTCTTCCATAAAATAAATAATAATTATATGTAGTACATATAAATAAATACTTAAGCGGGATTTTGTAGGTTAAAAGGAAATACTTTAGCCTATCTGAGGAAACTTCTTATAAAATGATGTCTGATATCTTGCTACTGAATGCTAAAGCTGTTTCCTCATTTGTAAAATGAAGGACTCAAATGACCTGGAATTGTAAAATCGTGTCTAATTATTTCAACACAATTTTCTGAGCCAAGGGCATTTTATTAAGAGCTATGGGAGCAGCCTTCTAATGGGTGGAGAGAAGGAAACAGGAAGTGTTATTCTTCTATGTCTAGGAACTCTGAAGGAGAATGACATGGAGATCTCTCTCTCTTCGACTAGCTCCATAATGGAGTATTTTCGCAGATACTATTTCAACAGGCAATGAACCCAATTACTCACTCAACCAGATTCAGCTGCAAGAGTAAGAAAGTAGTGTCACATCTGGCCACCCCAGGGCATAGGTCTTGGGGGTCAGCAGATACGGATATCACTATAAGCTCTGTTTAAGAGAAAACATGAGCAAGGGGTACACACACACACACACACACACACTTAAGAAATGTGGTGTATTTTATCATCAGGACACAAATGTAGGGAAGAATGATCCAGAATGATGATGATGTGTTAAAACATAGACAAGGACTATTACAAGTATACCTCTGGCCTATCATAGTTTATTATGTAGGCTTTCAAAAGCTTAAGTAAAAGGTGTAGAAAGTGTATAAAAAGCTTATGTTTTACTTCTTAAATGGGATGTTTGCTATTCCAAGTATTTAAAATTGGAAGCAGATTTTAGGACACAGGACACCTTCAGAAAATTTAATAGAGTGGTCTGCTAGCATTCAGGCAGCTTCTGACTTATGCAGTGTGTCTCTGTGGCCAGTAACTGATGAAAAAAGATAATTTGGAAATTTCTGGCCTTAAACACCACTGGAAAGGGGGCTGGGAATGTGGCTTAGTGGTACAGTGCCTGCCTAGCATGCATGAAGCCCTGGGTTCAATTCCTCAGTACCACATAAACAGAAAAGGCCAGAAGTGGTGTTTTGGCTCAAGTGGTAGAGTGCTAAGCCTTGAGCAAAAACAGCTCAGGGACAGTGTCCAGGCCCTCAGTTCAAGCTCCCAAAAAAACAACAAAAACTATCCCTGGAAAGGACTCTTCCCCTCTACAGGGAATATCCTGTGAATGAAATGTTTACCTCTGAGGGTAAGACTTTTTTTTTCTTCTTCCAATCCTGGGGTTTGAACTCAGGTCCTGGGCACTGTCTCTAATTTTTTTTTTTTTTTTTGCTCTAGGCTAGCACTCTAGCTTGAGCCACAGCACCACTTCTGGCCTTTTCTGTTTATGTGGTACTGAGGAATCGAACCCAGGGTTTCATGCATGCTAGGCAAGCACAATACCACTAAGACACATTCCCAGCCCAGAAAAGGCTTTCTTATTTTCCTCCCTCAGTCAGGGTACATTAAGATTTTCCAAATACTCAGACTTCTGATTGTACCTACATACTCATTGGAAAGAGTATGGGCCTATGTGACCAATGAATTAAATTTAGGAATCCAAGAGGAAAAAACCTCTCTTTTATTCATAACGAAGATAACTTTTAAGAGAAAAGTAACTTTTTCTTTATATAGAAGCAATTATTATTGCATGTTCTACATAGGCAAAAGTAAGCTGTATTTCTCTAAACTTAACCTATAAACAAATTTCTATAAGCTTGGCACTGGTGGCTCATGCCTGTAATCCTAACTACCCAGTAGGCTGAAATCTGAGGATTGTGGTGTAAAGCCAGTCCAGGCAGGAGAGTCCGTGAGTCTTTAATACCAGCAAAAAGGTGGAATTGGAGCTGTGGCTCAAGTGGTAGAGTACTACTAACCTTGATCACAAAAGCTCAGGGACAGTGCCCAGGCCCTTACTTAGTTCAAGCCCCCAGACCCAGCACACACACACACACACACACACACACATACACACTTGCGTGCGCGCATGCGCGCGCTCGCGCACAATTCTACTTGAGTAAACAAATATAAACCGTATAGACAAACAAGATAAACTGATAAACCCTTACCTTTTTACCACTATTGGGTTTAAGGTCATTCTGTAAAAAAGAAAACAATGTTTTAAGACACATCCAAATGATCTCTTCTGATGTGTTTGTTTCTAATCTTGGAACCTGAGGCTAGTTTTTGCTGGCAGTGTATTATCTGTGGGAACCAGGGTCTGAAGAACTAGCCTGACCCACCTCCCCTCACTTCCCCCACACGCATTTAACATATCAGGGTCTCCTGTTAGAATGGTTAAGTATGAAGGATTTAAAAGTCTATAGTTACCAGTATGTGTGCCAGCTCTGGGGCTTGAACTCAGGCCTGGGCACTATGCCTGAGCTTCTTTTGCTCAAGACTAGCACTCTACCACTTGAGCCACTACTCCATTTCTGGCTTTTTTTTTTCTTTATTATTGATAAGAGTCTTACAGACTTTTCTGCCCAGGTTGGCTTTGAATCACGATCCTTAGATCTCAGCCTCCCAAGTAGCTAGTGTTACAGGCATGAGCCTCCAGTGCCCAGGCTTACAAGGGGCTTTCATGAACAACCAAACCACCACAGTTTTACATATGGATTCATTCATTACAAGAATCAATCATCAATAAAAATAATCCAAACACCAGTCCCTTTAGCTTTTCAGAGATACTATGTGCTATACACTATAAGGCTAGATGATTCTAGAACAATGTAACCAATAGCTAGGCTGAATGACTTTCTAGTCATTCATTCTCATGTTATGTGATGTTGTGCTCTATTATTGATGCTGTGCTGTGCTATGCTCACAAGTTTGTTCTTACCGGGTGGACGTCACCAATGTAGTACTGCTTCAGCATCTCTCTGGCATCGGAGGAGTGGCCTATATCTTCAAAGCTTTCGCTTGCATCGGTACCAGCCTGTTCCAGCAGAACCTCTTCTCCAGCAGGATGCTGGGAGGAAAAGATATTTAATGAACCAAGGGTTCTCTGAAAAGCAAATCCATGTATATTTTTCCTTTGGTTCCCCAATTCTTCTTGTTCTTTTCTCCTTTGAATGGGAGTAATGGAACAAATTGCCATTGTGTGTTACCTGGGAGGATGCAACAGGAAGGAATAGAATTTCTGTAATATTCTGGCCCAAACTGCATGCTATGGGTATGATGGTGAGGCTAAGACAAGTGTGTAAAATGAGTGACAGTCCAGAAGATGAATGGCCTGTGACACTCAAAAGTAACTGAGGTCGGCAAGTCAAGAAGAAACTGTTCAAGATTTCAGAGACTACGGAGACATGACTACTGGGCACAATGTGTGAGTGTAGGTTGGTTCCCTTCCCTGTCATTATTAAGACTACCACAGCCAGTGGCTCATGCCTGTAATCCTAGCTACTAAGGAGATTGTGATCTGAGGATTGTGGCTAAAAAGCCAGCTGGGCACAAAGATTTGAGGGTATCTCATTGCCAAGTAACCAGCAAAAGATGAGCTGGAGGCATGGCTTAAGTGGCAAGAAATAGAACTATTATCGATCTAATAATCCCAATCCAGGGTGTGTGTGTGTGTGTGTGTGTGTGTGTGTGTGTGTGTGTGTGTGTGTGTGTGTGTGTATTAGCATAGGGTCTCAAAGTTGGTTTTTTTTGTAATTTGTTTAGATTGGGGGGGGGGAACACAAGGGCTTACTATGTATCAGAGGTTGGCCTCAAACTCACAATCCTACCTCTGCTTCCAGAGTACCTGGCACTTGTGACTACTGGCTTCAAGAAGTATTTGTAAAGTCAGGCACCAGTGGTTCATACCTGCAATCCTAGCTATTCAGAAGCCTGACATCTAAGGATCGTGGTCAAAGCCAGCCTGGGCAGAAAAATCCCCATGAGACTCTTTTCTCCAATTAACCACTCAAAAACTGGAAGTGGCACTATGGCTCAAGTGGTAGAGCACTAGCCGTGAGCACAAAGAGGCTCAGGAACAGTGCCCAGGCCCTGAGTTCAAGCCCCACAACTGACCAAAAAAGTATTCATACTCCAACCTTCTCAGCAGCATTATTCCCAGTAGCCAAAAGGCAAAAGCCACTCAAATGTTCATCAGGAGATAAATGAGTTAAACAGAATGTGATGTATGTACATACAATTGGCTATTATTCATTCTTAAAAAAATGAAATCCAGTCACATTCTCCTGCAACAAATGAACCTCAAGAACTTTATGCTAAGTGACCCAATCAGAGAATGGATTCTACCTTTATATGACATTTCTAAAATTGTCAAATTCAAGCCAGGCGCTGGTGGCTCACGCCTATAATCCTAGCTACTCAGGAGGCTGAGATCTGAGGATTGCGGTTCAAATCCAGCCCGGGCAGGAGAGACCATGAGACTCCTATCTCCAAATAAAACCACCAGAAAAACCGGAAGTGGCGCTGTAGCTCAAGTGGTAGAGCGCTTGCCTTGAGCTGAAGAGCTCAGGGACAGCGCCCAGGCCCAGAGTTCAAGCCCTACGACCGACCAAAAAAAAAAAAAAAAATTGTCAAATTCATAAACAGAAAGTAAAAGACTAGTTGCTCTATCCAAAGAGAAAAAGGATTTGTTGAATAGTCTAGTTTAAAGTTTTCAAGATTCAAAAGTTCTGGAGGGGGCTGGGAATGTGGCTTAGTTGTAGAGTGCTTGCTTACCATGCAAGAGGCCCTAGGTTCGATTCCTCAGTAACACATAAGCAAAAAAATTAAAATTTTTTTAAAAGTTCTGGATGCCTGATTCACAGGTATGGACAATACAATTGCTGGACTGCACACTTTACAAAGTTTAAGATGGCAAATTTTATGAAATACATTTTCATAATATAAAAATGTCAATAAAATCGAAAAGTAAAATAAAATCAATTCCATATATGACGTGTGTATGTGTGTATGTGTGTGTGTGTGTGTTGGTCATGAGGCTTGAATCCTGGGCCTGGGCGCTGTCCCTCAGTTCTTCAGCTCAAGGCTAGCACTCTATCATTTGAGCCACAGCGGCACTTCCAGTTTTCTGTTGGCTTATTGGAGATAAGTGTCTCATAGAGGGCTGGAAAGGTGGCTCAGTGGTAGAGCGCTTGCCTTGCATGAATGAGGCCCTGGGTTCAATTCCCCAGCACCACATAAGCAAAAAGAAAAAGAAAAAAGCTGGAAGTGGCACAGTGGCGCAAGTGGTAGAGCGCTAGCCTTGAGCTGAAGAGCTGAGGGATAGCACCCAGGCCCAGAGTTCAAGCCCCACGACTGGAGCAAAAAAAAAAAAGTCTCATAGACTTTCCCACCCGGGCTGGCTTTGAACTGTGATCCTGAGATATCAGCCTCCTGAGCAGTTAGGATCACAGGCATAAGCCATCAGCGCCCGGCCATATATGACATATATGACATGTACATGATATACATGCCAGGCAGCTGGAAAAAGAAATAATATGTATATGGAGTATATTATGTGGGCAATGGCATCTGGAGTTGGAAGTCGGGACAGCGGTGGCTTTGGGGATGGGGCGGGGACAAGCTGGAAGGAGCACTTCTAGGTTGCTAGTATTGTTCTTTCTCCACTCGGAGGGGATTTCGCAAATGTACTGACTTAGTGAAAACTCATTGAATGTGCTTTCAGGTTTTGTGCATTTTTTTTTCTGTTGCTGCTTTTTAAAAATATGCCTTAAAAAAAAAAACCAGGCACTTGACATTTGAACAGAGGAAACACCTGGATGTGTTTACTGACTGGATAGAGGGCAGAGATTTTTCACAACATTTTTAGCTGCAGAACACTTTCTGGAAGCAACATTTTGGATGGAAGCCCCATACACACAATCAAGTAAGTGTACATGATTAAAGTGCTCCATGACCGTCAATAATCAATTTGAAAATCACTAATTACACACAAAAGGGACAAAGAAGACTAGGTTTCAAATTAAGCAGTATTAGCAGCAGACATAGGGCGGAAGAGTTTGGAGGAAGATGAATTTATTTTCAGTCCTGCTTAGTCTTAGAAACTACAAGGACCGGGCTGGGAAGGTAGCTCAATGGTAGGCTTGCTTCGCATGCATGAGGCCCTGGGTTCGATTCCTCAGCACCACATAAGCAACAAGAAAAAAGCCGGAAGTGGCACTGTGGCTCAAGTGGTAGAGAGCTAGCCTTGAGCTGAAGAGCTGAGGGACAGCGCCCAGGCCCAGAGTTCAGGCCCCACGACCAGACCCAAAAAAAAAAAGAAAAAAAGAAACTACAAGGACCGGGCTAATCTCAGTCCTTCAGGACTTACGAGAACAGACTTGTGGGACTGTTGGTTAATACAGTGAAAACAAGCCATAGAAAAAATTTAAATGCACCAGAGAAGTGGCTGGATAAGGGAGAAAGAAACTAGAATACATACAAGCATTTTTACTCCTTAAACTGATCTAAAGATCAGTGTGTTCCAATCCTAGCCCGATGTTTTTAAGATGGATGGGACTAGGTTTGATTAAAACAAACAAACAAAAAACCCCAACCAGTTCCTGTAACTAGTGATAGACTTCATCTCACAACTCCTGAAACAGTGATAAACATCATCTTGGCTTAGAATACATATGAGTACATTTTCATTACTTTGGAGTTTCTTCAAGATGCCAAAATCATAAGCAACAAAATTTAAAAACTTTATCAAAAATTAAGAATTTGGCCAGGCCCCGGTACCTCACACCTGTAATCATAGTTACTTAAAGGCTGAGAAGTGGAGGATCACAGTTTGAAGCCAGCGCAAGGAGAAAAGTCCCCAAAATTCCATCTCCTGGCACTTGGGCTCAAGTTGTAGCGCAAGCCACTTGCCAGCTTTATGCAAGAAAGCTCCATTGACTTTTGAGCTCTGAGTTTAAAGCCTGGTACTAGAAAAAAAAAAAAAAGTACCTATACATCCTACAACAAAGATACCTTGAAAATATTAAAATAAGTCAGTAGCAAAAGGCCACATATTGTATGATTCTATTTATGCAAAATGTCTGGAGATGGAAAATCCACAGAGCTGAGTATAGGAGAGGAAATGAGAAGTAATAGCTAATAGGCATGTTTCTTTTTGATGTGATAAAAAGTGGAAGTTAAAAACCAGACCTCTAAGTCCATGCCTACAATCCCAGCACACAGCATCACAAGTTCAAATCCATCTTGGTATAGGAAATTTGAGGCCAACCTGGGCTACACAGGAAGACTCTGTCTCAAAAAAAAAAGGGGGGGGGTTGGAAGGTGGCTCAGTGGTAGAGTGCTAGCCTTTCCTACGCGAGGCCCTGGGTTCAATTCCTCAGCACCATATAAGCAGAAAAGGCTGGAAGTGGCACTGTGGCTCAAGCAGTAGAGTGCTAGCCTTGAGCTGAAGAGCTGAGGGATAGTGCCCAGGCCCAGAGTTCAGGCCTCAGGACTGACAAAAAAAAAAAAAAAAGCAAGAAGATAAGAAAGCAAGCAAGCAAGCTCTGACATTTGTACAACCATTTGGAAATGACGAAAACCACTAAACTATACACTTATTTTTTATTTTATTTTTTTTCAGTTGTGGGCTTGAACTCAGGGTACATAGGCACTGTCCCTGAGCTCTTTTGCCCAAGGCTAGTGCTCTACCACTTTGAGCCACAGCTCCACTTCTGGTTTTTGAGTGGTTAATTGGAAGTAAAGAGTCTCACAGGGACTTGTCTGCCTGAGCTGGCTTCAAACCACGGTTCCTCAGATCTCAGCCTCCTAAGTAGCGAGAATTATAGGCATGAGCCTGGACATCACTTAAAGGAAACAACAAGCCAAGAGTACCAACCTTGAGTTCTGCATGCTTCTACAAAAGATAACATCTTATTTCAACTAACAATTTTCAACATTATTCCTCTTCAACCTAAAAACACTTGTCTGTTTAAAAAAGAAAAAAAGGTCTGGTGCCAGTGGCTCCCACCTATAATCCTAGCTACTCAAGAGGCTGAAGTCTGAAAATCAAGGTTCCAAGTTCACTTG